CCTGTGATACACTGACAACACAACTTTGCTTGCTGAAAGTGAGGATGACTTGAAGCACTTACTGATGAAGATTCAAGAATACAGTCTGCTGTATGGATTACATCTCAATATGAAGAAAACAAAAATCCTCACAACTGGACCTGTAAGCAGCATTACGATAAATGGAGAAAAGATTGAAGTTGTCAAAGACTTCACATTGCTTGGTTCTACAATCGACATCAATGAAAGCAGCAGTCAAGACATCAGATGACATATAGCACTGGGCAAGTCGGCTGCAAAGGACCTCTTTCAAGTGCTGAGGAGCAAAGATGTCTCCTAGAAGACTAAGGTGTGCCTGACACAAGCCATGATATTTTCAATTGCCTTATATGCATGTGAGAGCTGGACATGAATAAGGAAGACTAATGAAGAATTAATGCTTTTGAGTTGTGGTGCTGGCAAAAAATACTGAAAGTACCATGGACTGCTAAAAGAACTAACAAATTTGTCCTGGAGGAAGTACAGCCGGAATGCTTCTTGGAAGCGAGAATGGCCAGACTTCATCTCACCTACTTTGGTCATGTTGTCAGGAGGGATCATTCTTTGGAGAATTCTTCAGGGAAGCTAAGGGTGGTGACTTGAGTCACACTCTCCAGCAAGGTGGGACTCAAGATGCATCCCACCCTAAACAGGCATAGAGACTAGGATTTACAATAGATAACAAAATGGAAGACAATGGCTAGAAGGGCCATATTAAGTAATTTAACTGCACTGCAAAGTGAGAATGGCCAGACTTCGTTTCTCATACTTTGGTCATGTTATCAGAAGTGAGAAGTCCGTGGAGAAGGATATCATGCTAGGTAAAGTAGAGAGTCAGGGGAAAAGGGGAAGACCCTTAATAAGCTGGATTGACAGATTGACAGAGTGGCTGCAACAACGGGCTCAAGCATGGCAACAATACTGAGGATGGTGCAGGACTGAGACGGGCAGGGAATTGGGCTGAAATAAGCAGCCTCTGGCTCAGTGTTATTGCTCCTGGCACCAGAGAACTGCTTGCTATCAACAAGCCAGGTCCTTGGGCAAGATGGTGGGAGCCACATTTCAAAAGGCCCACATGCCTGACCAGTTGCAAAATGCTGATAAACCTCCTAAGCTGTCCTTCAAGTACCTCACCAGGTGCAGAGCATGCACAGTAAAAAATCAGTGTGACCAAATAAGTGACCTTCCACCAGAAGCAGTCAAGAGTAGGAGCCCCTTGCAGGTTCCAGAGACATCATGCACGCATAACATCTTAGGTAAGTCATGTCAAGCATGCCAGCAACCTTCATGAGAGAATCCATCTTTGTTCTGACAGCCTTTTGCAATAGAATCATCTCGGCTATTCCCTGCGTGCGTAACTGATTTTCATAACCCTGCTTCTTTTCTGGAAATTCCCACCCATTTCATGAATAAAGATGATGCCCCCCCAACCTTTTATAAGGAACTCTGATGGCATAGTGCCTAAGGCATGTGACTGCTAACCAGAAGGCTGGCGGTTCAAACCCACAAGTTGCTCCGCAGAAGGAAGACTGGGCAATCTACTTCCATAAAGATTTAGCACCCCAGGAACCTGATGGGGGCCGGCCACTATGAGTTGGAATCTACTCAATGGCAGTGAGGCTGGTTTGGGTTTGGTAAAACCCTTCAAAAAACTTAAGAATTCCTTTGTTTAGGGGGAGACTGGAGACTACTGTAGGCAGAAGCCCCTCTCTGTCTCTCCTTCATGAGCCCCTCTCCTCTCCTTTCTCTTTAATAAACTTTGGCTCATGTGGACATTTTGCCTCTCCTGTTCAATTCTTTGTCAGTAGAAGGCTAGGAGCCCTGCCCAGGGTCCCAGGACCCCAGTAACAGGACCAGGCAGTGTTTTGTTCTGTCATACACAAGGTCACTAAGGTGAAACTGACTTGATGGGACCTAACAACAACAAAAGCCTCCAAAATTGCATGAGAATAAATTTCAGTTGTTTTAAGCCACCCAGCTTGGTAATCTGTCACTGCAGCTCCGGGAAACTAATACAAATTTCTGTACAAGGCTCAGCCCTACCAGACTGGAGGTTCCTAGAGGTCGAGAACTCTGTGGGCTGACTCCTCATTACATATCAACCATCTCATGCTCTCTGAATGCCTATGTATGTCAGCCCTAGTCTGGGCCCCAAGAGGGCACCCGGGGAATCAGCCAAGGTCCCTGCCTTCATGTAGCTTACAAAAGCACCAAGGATTCTGCTCAGCCATAAAGAGAAGTGAAGTCCATGCCACAACATGGATGAACCTTAAAAATATCATGCTGGAGGGGAGGGGAGGGAAGACTACAAACAAACAAACAACAACAACAACAACAACAAAAAAACGTAAAACAAAAAATCATCCTGCATGAAATAAGTCAGTTGTAAAAGGACAAATTCTGCATGATCTCAGTTATAGGAAATATCAAATCTATAAACCCCTTTGAGTTGATCTTGACTCAAAGTGACCCTATAGGACAGGATAGATCTGCCCCATAGGGTTTCCAAGGCTGTCATCTTTACAGAAGCAGCTGCCACACTTTTCTTTTGCAGAACCCTAACTCATTGCCATCGGGTCTATTCTGACTCACACCAAAGCCCTCTGGTTTTCCGAGGCAGGATCTCTATGGAAGTAGATTGTCCAGTCTTCCTCCCATGGAGTGGCTGGTGGGCTTGAACCACCAGTCTTCTGGTTAGCAGTCAAATGCCTTAGGCACTATGCCACGAAAGCAGATTCAAACTGGAGACTTAGCAGTTAGTAGCTGAGCACTAGGAAACCCTGTGGGGCAGTTCTACTTTGAAACATGGAGTCACTATGACTCAAAATCAACTCAATGGCACCTAACAACAACAACTAAAGGCAAGAGGGAGGGAGAAGGATGAGTTTTTGCTTAGGGGACATTGAGTTATGTTAATCGTGGTGGACATGATTTAGAAAAGGAGAGGGAAAATAAGTTGCATGACCGTGTAATCAATGTCACTGAATTGTTCATGTAAAAACTGTTGAGATGGGTATGTTTTATTATGCATATTTTCACTTTTTTTAAAAAAAAGCACCAAGGAGACAGGACATAGATAGTTGTTGTTGCTATGTGCCGTCAAGTTGGACCCGACTCATAGTGACCCCTCCTTGGGTTTCCGAGGCAGTATCACTATGGAAATAGATTGCCCAACCTTCCTTCTGAGGAGTGGCCGGTGGGTTTGAACCGTCAGCCTTCTGGTTCACAGTCAAGTGCCTTAGGCACTATGCTACCAGAGCTCCTGGACATAAATAGAGGGAGGTTAAATAAGGACGATGACAACAATGGTCAGTTACTGAACACTTCCTGCTTTCACTCCTCAAAGCTACCACATAAAACGGTTGTTACTATCCCCAGTTTCATGGCTGTGAGAAGTGAGGTTAAGAGGGGTAGGTTAAGTGCCTGCGGTAACACAAAGGAAGCGGAAGAGGCTGGAATCTGAACTCAGCTCTGGTCAGAGAGCTCAAGCTGTATGGTTTCACAAAGATGGTGTGGAAAAGGTGTCCAAGGACCAGGCAGGCAGGAGTGTGGAGGGATAGCGGTGAGAGGGTTAGGGAGGCTGCCTGGAGGAGGTGGAGGAAAAAGTCAGCCCTGTACAAGGATTAGATCATGGCTGCAGACCCAACAGTGTCTTACGATGAATTGGAGCTTTAAGAATTGCCCTTTGTCGATTCCTTCAAAAGTTGGAAATACAAATACCATTTGACCCAGCCATCCCATTACTAAGTATATACCCTAAAGAAGTGAGAGCCATAACAAGAACAGATATATGCACGCCGATGTTCATCGCAGCACTATTTACAATAGCCAAAACTTGG